AACCATGCAAACGCAGATCACTAAGTTCACTTAGCCAAACATTCAGAAATATCTATGAAACCTTAATTTGACTTCCCTTTGATTTATAGTGCAGTCTTTAGCTACACGTTCTCATTATTTTGTTTTTCACAGGACCACGGCCTCTTTCAGTTGAATAAGTAGTACTTTTTTTGCCCCTTCACATTCAATACGTAGTCCAAAGCCTTATTTAAGGCATCCAACCCAACTTCTAAATTGGGTTTAGTATTAGGAACCTCTAGCAGGTATTTGCTCTAATGTTAGGCAAGCTGGATCCCAAGAAAATCAATGCATCCACAGAGGAAGATTCAGCGCACCTAAACTAGGAATTTAACATCTCTTTGGTGATCACAGAGCAAATACAGACAGAAGACAGTGAGCGTTCTCCTACTCCCTTTAAACGTTTGTGGCACCTGTACCAGCGGCGCGCTTCCCAGACATTGCTGCAAACTACAAAGATAAGCAATGGCATATCATACCGAGCTGATCTCCGCAAAACTGCTGTATTGCATGGATAATAACGTATCTTACAAGTTTTAACCTCGTCATCTTGATCTTAAACAAGAACTCTACTAGTTTTGGGTGCCTAGCACGCGTGCCTAACCCCTGATTTTGCAGAACCCTTATTGTACATAAAAGGAGAAAAGCTCCAAATTGCTTAAGCAACATTCATGAGCAATTAGCATTTCTACAAATCCGTATCAGGCAACTCCTGCGGGGCACAAGCGGCACAAGTGACCTCCAGCAAAAATCCCTGCCATAGCCAGCCACTTCAAGCCAGGAGAGGATCACTACTTCACTGGGTCTTCTCTGTAGTTTGCACATAAAACCTGCAGAGAAGCGTTTCACTCTGCTGATTCAAGCACAGAATAAATTTGTGCAGGACATGGGACAAGAACCTGGTGAAGACAGTATGGTAAATAAGTAAAGACTGTCACATGGCAGATGCATGACAGCACATCAGGGTGTGCAGTTCCAAATCACAGCAGCTGAGCTTAGATTTTGACGATGTAATTTTATACCTATGGTGCAGATTTGTAATGTACTTTCTTACTTAACAATCATTTTTAAAAAAGGTCTTCTAACATCTGGACTTGCATCACAATGCTAGAATGTGCGTCACAAGCTGGGTTTAAACCCTTAGGTCTCAACAACCCCAGCTCTCTACAAAAAATAACTGATAGCAATACCGGGCTACTGTAATACATGCAACTTATACCCACCCAATGGTTTTGACTCATTTTCTCTGCAGTATAGTAATACAAGGACTTGGGCCTCTGAAATCCAGCTACAGATTTTGGAGAAAAGCAGCCCATGGGCACAGTCTGTGCACCTGCAATCTATCCAGGCTTTATCTTCTCTTCAAATGTCCCTGCTTCTCATGCCTTCTGTCCACCTTCACTCCATCACCTGCTCTTTTCTATAGCTATCCCGCTACCTACGCTCCAAGTCCTTCTCCATCTTACTTGCCCTACGCACAGATTCCTCTGAGTCTTGCCTTATATTTTCTTCTTTCAGCTCCTCCTCACCATGTTATTAGCCCTCTGGATTTGAATGAGCTGGTTTCTCCCTTTCTCCTTTCACATTCCAGGTTCACCAAAGGAGCATGAAGGAACAGATACTAGATGATGAAAACTTCTCTGATTCTGTAGCAGGCACTCCTAGAGGGTGCTATGCAATTACTAGATGCCATATGCTTTTATAAATTATACTCAAGTGAATTTCGAGTGTATTGTTAGTTGCAGTTATCCTGTATTTTCAGAATGCTCTGAAATTTAAAAGATAATGATCTCTACAGATAAGGAGGTACAGGACTGGCACAAAATAGGTCCACTTAGAGGTCAGTGGCTGGGCCAAAGCTGATCCACTTTTCACGTACTGAGAAAAGTCTTTCATATTGTATGAAGGCTTCTACAACTGGAGTGCAGTGGTTCTAGTCAAATAACCACCAAAAAAACCCTTTGCACACAGCAATTTCATGGTAAAATTACATACAACATTCCAATGTGATGAAGGGTTAACTTCAGTACATTTTATAAATTCAGTACATAACTGCATTTGAGGGTTTTTATATACACTATTTGTAAGGTTTATTTTGGGATCTCAAAATGAATCTGTCAAGCTAATGATATTCCAAGGAGGTCTTAAAGGAGTTTCAAGTACTGCAGGAAGTACAGCACTTACAACACCTGCAGCAGGTGGTAATGCTCTCTTGTAAGTCAGTACTGAACCACTGAGTGTCAGAGTGCAGTCTTTTGGATAACACAAGCAGAGTCCAGCTCTTTTAGCAGTTATCCAGGGTCCTGTGGCACTCTTCACAGCGGGAGCCTTGGACTTTGTTTTATGGCCACGTTCCAACTCTGACAGTTGCATCCTAACCAAGTGCCCGTTGCAGCTTCTGTTGGATGTGCACATAAGCACCTCAACCATTAAATGACGCTGTGTCTCAAATGAATGTGATACGGATTGATATGTCTGATGACAGTGCATAGCAACATGTATAGAAAGCATCAATTACTATCCTGCCCATAAACCTACTAGCAAGATTAAACTGGATAGGAGATGCTGTGTCAATAGGAACAGCATGGAAAGACACCCCTAAGTAGCCAGATGTGTTAGACAGAACTTTCTGCATCAGAACAAAGCTGCCTTTACAAGACGGGGGAGAGGCAGAAGAGCCTGTCTGTCCATCTCACAATTGACAAGAGTTGTGGCATCAGCCACAATAGAAATCTCCTTTCCCCCCCGCCATTTCTCTGCCCTCCCCCACGCATGCCGAGCCACGAGTACCGCACTGGGAGACTTGGAAGACAAATGGGCAGCTGCCTCTAGAGGCAATTGTGAGGAGACTAAAGATCAGCTTGCAGCTGGCACTTCCACCCCCACCTCTCCTTACTACTTTAGTCCGCTTGCTGCCAGACAAGGATCATGAGTCAGCTCCCAAACGTATTCTCCTTGAAACAATGGCTACAGCTCTCCACTGCAGCTATACCACTACTCTGCCTCCACGGGACATGCTGCAGCTACGAAAATAAAAGGACTGATTTTAACCTACAGCAGCCTAACTACCAGAACTGAATGACACACAAGTTGCACTGAAAAATGTTATGCTAAACCTGTGAGATCACCAAAGCTAATTTTGAGGTGAAACAGGCACGAAGACAGTGCTGTAATGAAAAGTGTGCAGAAGAAGCAAATGTATATGGTAAAGCAGATGGCTTTTGCACAAGCTTTTTCAACTACAAAAGGGTGTAGTTTCATACCACAGCATTGTATGCTGCAGCACTAATCGTAAAGCAAAGAAATCAGTTTAGGCTTTACAAAGTAACTTTATCACAAGGTGGGAGCTGCTCTGAGTAGCCACCGCTCACTGAAACTCCTGTGCTCACAAAGATGGAACAGCAGCACTAATCTCGAGCATATTTCAAGAGGATCGCCTAAAAGGAAAGCGTATTTTGCTAGGACAACATTTCAGCTTATCAGCTAACGATATCAACCTCAAACTCTTAACTTTGCTGGCCCAAGTGCTTACAGACAACGAAGAATTCAAAGAAGAGCTAAGAATCGCACTGGAGATTTGTCAAAACTAGATCTTACCTGAGGAACTCGTGGTGACTACTGAACGCTTAAATAGCTGTGCACACAGTTAAGGTTAGACATGGAGAGTCTATGCTCATGCAAAGCACCCTGAAGAAACATCAGCACTCAGAGTGCGCCTTACCTGCAGACAGTCTACTCTGCACACAGTCCACCCATATCCTCTGAAGAGATGTTGCTGGAAGAGCTACAGTGCAAACTAACATATTAGGAAATTCAAATGTATGCTACATTAACATTTTTAGTTCTCGCAGGGAAATAGGCAAAACCAGTTATCCTTTCTCACCTCCACCTGTGAGCGTGAGACCCGTGTGCGTTTTTAACAGTTCAGTATGGCCAATTACTTTGAAGAAATCACTAACCCAAAACATCAATGTGTCTTGAGCCTATAACCCCAGAAGGCAAGTTAGAGGCAGAAATAAAAGACTACATCACAACACATTCAAAGAGACAGGGCAATTGAAGAGAAGTCTGGCTTCTCCTTGCGCAGGATCCAGATAGGTGAGTTTTGCGGGACTGTGCAACATCAATTAGAAGGTTCTACAGTTAGAGCGCATCAATTTTACCGTCAACGGCAACATGACTTACCTATACATTCCTTACAAAAAGATAGCAGACTATATGCATATATATATATATCTTTTAAATTATTTTATTTTGTGTAAGCTAAAAGGAAATTTACACACTTAAATCTCAAAAGACCTTGGGCATGCACATTGACCTTTTTAGAGGTTCTTCTACATAGCTCTCTTTTTTCCATAGGAATTTCCCCAAACATTTACAACCCATAGTTTTTACTGTATATACAGCCTAAAACCATAGCAATCTATGATTATGTCATTTTACACTGTGCAAAATCAAACATAGGAATAGTGGTACAACAAAACAAAAATTTTAACAGGTAAATTTCATTGTAAGACATTCATATAGTTTTGGTCCTTCTTTTCCAAATCAAACTGATTGAATGCAGACAACCTTCTAATAGCTCCAGAAATCAAGTGCTTAGACAGTGATCCACAACTGGAACGAGGAGTTACTGACAACATACCTTTCAGAAGGCTATATAGTGACCGAGCCATACTGTTGAAGTTTAAGAACACAAAAACTGATCAGCCAACCAATGAACCAGGGAGAGGGGGAAGGGGGAAGAGGGAAGAGGAGGAGGAGGAGGAGGAGGAGAAGAGAAACACACCTTAAGGTTGTTAGAACAGAAAAGAAATGATTGGATTTTAAAGAAACAACAATAACTGAAAATCCACAAAGGGACAATGTAACCTCTTGTTTGTTTGTTTTTTAGCAACAATTGTTTTAATATATGCAAGAAAAAGATGCTCAATGCAATGTGAAAACCTTTAAAGGAGACTTCACAGATTGTGAAGACTGAAGTTTTCATTATGCATTTCTAGGTTTTGTTTTGTTTTGTTTTTTTTAAACTTTTTAAAGTTTTGTAAGAAGGACACCACCAGTGTATTTCACAAAGACGTAAATGTATACACCCCAGCACAACAAAAAGAATAGATCTTCAAAAAGATTCACCCCCAATTATTTACATTTTTCTCTAATATAAATTTAGGACTCCAGTATGTAAATAAATATACATTACTATGTATACCTTTCTAGTGCTGCTTACCAACAAATCATCTGAACTTTATTTTTTGATTAAAGCAAGATTGCTTTTTATGACCCACAGAGGGAAGAAAAAAGAAATCAATAGAAAATGTCCAATTCACATCACTTTAGTCTACCTTTTCTTGGCAGCTTGTTGAAGGTGTTAATGTGGCTGGGAACATCAACACCTTGGCATGCATGAAAGTTAAGTCAGGAAGGCTAGAAATCACCTTGGCAGCCTCTTCACTAAGATGTTCTTCCTTTTTAGGCTTCCTGTTGAGAAGAAAAGAAAAAAGTGCTGTAATCCAGTACCTGACATCCTTTGGATCGCTGAAAGAATCACTGATGGCAGCAAGGTTCTGTCAGTTTGTCTCCCATTGACAGGCACTTCTGTAAGCTATTTGAAGCTATTTAAAAGTTATAATACCTACCTGCCTACCAACAAAATGTTAACATGGAAAATCAGCAAAGTGCTCCTGAATATTGTTGCAATGAGTGAAAAATGATTTCCTATTCAAATGTTAATTCCTCCGCCCTGCAAGATCCACTGTACCGTTCTGGGACTACTCACTTGAAGAGAGTAAGACAACAGAAGCATGAGTTCTAAAATACCCAAGTCCTTTATAATCTTTCACTATAGCATGGAAACACCTTGAAAGGACATTAAGTGGTGCCTAACTTAATACCTTTAAAATAAAAGGGACGGTACTTGCATCGCATTTCTAATACGACCTGACTTAGATTATACACCATACTGCTCTACACCATGATCCATAAGCCCTTTTTTCCCCCCCGAGGTCTCATCATCAGCAAGAAGCGGCTCACAACTTGCAGTTATTTGCTTGGAAGTGCAGTAGTATGGGTAGCCGAAATGAAACACTCACCAGTTTGGGAATCGCTATTTACTTTTCCTTTCGCATCCTCTAAAGGAATTACTGAACACAAATGAACAAAAGATGTCTGAATCCCATGTCCCTTGGTTTGCACTATTATGCAAGAAACTCATATTTCTTAAATAAAATGAAGTCTGGCTCAGACTGTTATGGAAGACTCCTAAGCACCCATACTTTTCATACTCATAGCTTGTCTTGAAGAATGGTGGCTCTTACCAGAAAAAACTGCATATTCCACCAATTATTCCAGGTCCGAAAAGGCATTTGCCACCCTCTGCAATGATATTAGAAATTCTAGCTAAATAAGCTTCTCCTCCTTTGGGGCAAAAAGCTGAGACAAAAGGCTTGAACCAAATAAACTGCCTCACTCCAGAACGTTTCAGAAGTTTCACTTCCTATTTTAGTTATAGGCTTTAAATTGAACCCACGACAGGACAATCACCACTCTGATCAAAAAGTAGCATGTGCTTGTATCTTTTTGTCAGCACCCATCAGGATTGCTCCCTCAGCTGACCAGAAATCAGGAAAAAGCAAGGGGCTATGTGTTTTGCTTCAGCAGCAGTCTCAGAATTTCCTGGCTAGGGGAGAAGAAAGAAAGAAAAAAAGAGAGAGAGACAGAGGGAGGAGGAAAAAAAAATGCTGGATTCAAACTCATCCTTGACATTGCTGCTCATCGTGTTGACACTGACCTATCACTTTTGTTTGTTACTTGAAATCTCCACTTGATGAAAGATCTCTAGATGAGGCAGCCTAGACGCTAAATCTGACTTTCCTCCATGAGAATAGCAGTATTTTTCTTTTCTCTGCTGCAGTGGAATTTCATGAGCCACTGACTAGGCAGATTACCAAATTCTGGAGGATAAACAAAGCTGTGTGCTGGATTTACTGAAGAAAGAAGCAGAGAGCCAATATGTGCCTCCTTCTCTAACAACTTCACAGGCAGCTCTGTTTGCACTCGAAGGGGACTATCTCTGAGCTGTTGAAATGCGGTTGTCACCCACCACTGTGTTATCAGTATCTGGTGCCACTATTAGTAATCACTTACCACAAGCCTCTTAAAGGTACAAACTCCTGGCGATGAAGGACTTACAGACACAGCTAACAAAGGAGTGTTTGACAGAGGAAGCCAAAGGAAGAGGGCTGATTCGGAGATCTGCATTAAAAGGAGTTCCTGCAATTGTCACCAGGCACCAAGATGGGGCTCACACGCTCTTTGCTATTTATATGCCTTTTCTTCCTCTGCTCCACTGTGTCATGCTAAGGAATGGCACTGCTGGGTCCCAGAGGCAGCACTGCGTTTTGTTCAGTGGCATACGGAGGACCTTTATCACAGGATGATGCTACGGCTCTTGTATACTAGTCCGTGTCTGCAACGCCACCGCAGAACGCGCGCACCAGTGAGCACACTCAGGTGCTCCCTTCCCAGCTTGGAGGCCCTGTCCTATAATTGTCTACTTAATGTGCTCTGTAAACAGTACCTGATGGAGAAAAGGCTAACACACTTGTACAGTAAAAATTATTTAACTATGACCAAGCTACAGGTATAGGTACAACCACCCGCTAATGAGGCTCAACGCTTTTTAAAGTCATCCCAGCGCAGAGGGGAAGGGGAGTGACTAGTGTCTCCATTCTGCTATAGAGGGGCACAGGTTCCTCCAGAAGACACTGAAACTGGACACTGCACGTGCCCTTCCTGGATAACGGACAGCCAGCACCTTTGGTAGCAAATATCACTGAGCCAACCCTAAAGAATTGCTCACTCGTCTCTAAACTTAAAAGACAAAGCGCCATCATCACTGCAGGCTGTTTCGACCCTTAAGACTTACCACATTGCCTAATAACTGTGTGGGGAGATGAAGACCGTTTTGATGAGAGCAGGAGAAATAACCATGTAAGCTGCATTAATTTCAGTCACAGATTTCGCTAAAGATGTTGCCATAGTCAAAAGCTTCTCTTGTTTTTCCTGCTTTCCTTCTTGCTTGCTTCCCTGGTCCATGAGGGGCCGTTGCAGAGCTTCTCCTGCTCATGCATACTTAATTTCTACCTACCTCAGCTCACAGAACTGACACTCGAATGAACAGACTGCGAGTGACAGCTGTACTACTTTTACCTGCTTTGGAAATAGAATTGTAATTTCTAAAACATGAAAGGACCTGGTCCTGGCTCAAAGCAGGGTCCTGCCTCTTTCAGGTTTTGGACCTGCCTTCTGCAGAACGCCTTGCCCCATTCATCACTTCTCTTATGCTACACTACATTTCCTCCCAACATACTCCAGACAGAGGGAATATCTTTCCCCAAACAATTATGCCAATCCCTCTACCTGCTGGCATGAGCTTTTCTTTTAAAAAGGTATGTGTACACCAAGCTGCAAGAAATTAGCCAGACTGACAGGCAGGAAAGTTCCTGGGAGAAAATTTAGCAAGAAATATGGAATGCCTTGTATATGCATCAATTACACCCAACTGTTCTGGTTTATATTCCAACCTTTTCCTGCAGCACTCAATCTTTCAGGACTTCAGTCATCTCCTATGTTGGCAAAGAGTTATGCGGATAGTACCAAAAAACCCCAGGCTCTAAAAGCAATGAGTTGATTAAAGAAATGCACTTTAAAAAGTTACTCTAATTAAGAGTTAGCCTGCTCCCTCCAACACTGCCCACAAGGGATATTTACAGTTTAAATCAGGTTTTCAGCCATTTCTTGGAAAGGTATCAGCACTCTGCTTTCCTTCAAAGAGACAGCAGATAAACTTTGATCTCTGCCAGTTCTACAGAATTAGGCAAGACTGCAGAGTCTCAAGCGGAACGCTGTACTGGATCACTGACCTTCACCACTTAAGCTACCTTTAAGGTTTCATACCCAAGCTGGGAAATTTGGTTAGCTTTCTTCCTCTCCACTCCCAACGTTTGCTTTCTGAGAAACTGGTTTGCAGCTGCCAGTTAGCAAGCAAAAGATGGAGCTAGTTCAAACAAATACAACTCTTCACATGGCCTCCTACAGTAGAACGATGACATTTTCACTTGAAGCTTTACCCTCAAAGATTCTGAGTTCAGACAAATTACAGACAAATAAGGGATAGTTTTAAAGCAACTGAAGTTGCCCTCAGAGTGGTGTGGCTACATCGTGCCCTGATCAGTTATCAGGGGTGGCTAATGATCTGCACTCCCAGGCTAGTGCACGAATGTCAGCTTTGATGAGCTGGCTGTATCCAGTCACTTCTATTTTCAAGGCTCCAATTTGTTACAAAGAATACACATTTCAGAAAACACACACACACAATTGTGTTAAAAAAAAGAGCGCTCACACCACTGCAGGGTATTTGGCATACTGCTGAGGCCCTCTCATATCTATGAAAGCTTCCACCTCGAAAAATAGAAAAACAGACTTTTTTTCCCCTCAAAAAGCAGGAAATAGCAAAAGGGGGAAAAAAACATTTGGAATTTTTAAAATTCAGAGTTAACAGAACACTTCTAAAATTTATTTCATACTGAAAACAGCTGCTTTAAAACAGCTAATCTATGTGTATCTGAACTCAACAGTTAAGTCTAAGGTCCCCAGCCTCTCCCTACAGCCTACTATATTCCTATAGCACAGGAACCAGAATGTCTTCACATCACTATGCAACAGGCTCAAGACTGGGGGAAGAACTTTGATACCTGGATTAAGACCTTTACCAGAGCAAATCAAAACTTTAAAGAGCAACAGTAGAAGCATTAAAAACACCCATGTCCAAAAAACAACAATACAGGAAAACAAAGGTGAACACTCTTTTGAGCAAAGCAGACGTATCTTCTCATTTGTATATAAAATGCAGACTTCTCCAAGGTCTGCCAAGTAAGCAGGCACAAATTTATGAACAGATATAAAGAAGATAACAGATATACATTTGGATTTTGTATGGCCTGCTGTGAGTTTGTGGTTACTTTTTAATTAGACATTGAATAGATTAAAAAAAAAATATTTCAACTGTAACTAGGTTTTCCAATTAGTGAAAGTCAAACTTTCTCACTAGTGTATTTTCAGAAAGAGCGTAAAGCTTCAGGCATTCAAGTCTGCATTGAGGTGTGGAGTTCCCTCTACTGGTTCTCAGCTGAAATTTCATGGTCTGTTAATTTTTTTTTTTTTATTCAGTATTAACTTTGAACATTTGCACTGCCGGAAAACTACCAAGATAGTTTCCCCAGTGAAAGAACATGTTTCAAAAGAGCTCTTGCAAATTCCAGTTTTAGCTATTTTAAGAAAGCCTAGCATCCCCAATCATCACAAATCACTACATACTCGGCAATTCTTTTCTTCAGCCAAGCCTCCTTAAGTGCTACGCTCCATAGAAACACATCTGTTTAGTTTCAGAGGGTTGAATAAATTCTAAAACTTACTCAGAGCAAGGACATGTTACTGTTTATTATTGGAAATGTAACTATATTTATAAACATCTATAAAAGAAGCAGGCATTTCCTCAACAATAGGAACATTCATTCTATCGTGTCACTCTGACTCTTTAATAGGCACAGCCATTAATTACACGCTAAGCCAGTCTAGCATCCTACTGCTAACATACAAATTCAAAAAATAAATCCAAAAGGATATAAGCTTATAAATGGAGACAGTATTTTGGCCCCATTAAACGGGCCAGATTCTGAGGAAGACATTTGACATCTGAAGCCTGTATATAGACTCTACCTACAGAAAAAAAATGCATCTAGAAGAACTTCACATGAGATCCACAGAGCAGAAAGGTCACCCTAGACCAACCACACAAACTATATGCTTATTCCTTAAGAAATGGCTTGTAATGAGAAGAAGTGGACCTCATGTTTCAGTGGGGTCTTGCCAGGCACCAGAATTACATGAAAAGGGACAAACATCACTTATAATAAAGTCAGCTTTATCATTTACTTGCAGAACTTTCCATACCTGTGAATTAAGTAAAGGAGATTAAAAAGGTCTTCTGTCAAAATCCTAGCAGCCTGAGTTACATTCAGTTTAGTTCAGTTTATCCTTCCATTCTCAGAAACTATTTTTTTTTCATTCAGGTCTCCACCAATTCAGATTTTAGCTATAGCTTTTAAACTTGTGCCCTGATGTCTTTTTTGTCAGCTCACAAACTGCTTCCCAGTTTATTTTAGAGTTCTGTGATAATTTGAAATATGAACTACAGTACTGTGAATTTCATATTTGTAACATGCGACTTTCATTTACATCTTAAACGTAAACCTTCTCTCCATTCAAGAACTTCTGACCTCAAATGGCACACCCATTCCCTCCTCACATTCTGAGCCATCCTTAGCGTTAAAAATAAGCCTTAAGCATTATTTACCTTGTGGATGTGCTTGCCTTCTCTACTGTGGACATGAGTCTTGCAAATGCATCCGTCACTCTGTTGCTTGTATTGGAAGTTTCCAGTTTTGAGGTTGTCAATTCATACAACTCTGGATCCACACCTTAGAGTATAAAATGATAATCAGTGATGGTTGGCAGGCAAATATATCCATAATTAGCTACAGACCAACTTGCTACAAACTGTTTTCTGTAAACATCTGAATTGTTTAAAGTTTCAAGATACATGAAAAAGAACCTGACGGAACACATGTCTGTGTTTCTAAAACAAAGTCCTCTCCCCACCCTCTTCACAGTAGCTTTTACAGCTGCACCACAAGAAAACACACACATTGGATTAAGGCTGGCATACGAGGTCTCAGTCTGAGAGTAAATATTCAAAAATTTGGTTACACCTGTAAGAATGACAGCTGTGTAAAACTGATTGCTTAAAATAGTTTCAGCTCAATTGTTTCTATTAAAAGAAAGTTGCACGTTAACAGTGACCAGCTCTTTAATGAGAAATTACATACTACATTGGCGCGTAGTTTAATGAGTTTAATATCTTGTTTCTTATAAGTGGTTTGCTTAAAAGCTTCTTCAAAGTAAAGAAAACCAGTGTTTATAATACCTACAAGTGGAATGGCACTAGAAAAGTTACATAATACTATTTAAAATGCAACCAAAACTTTTGGTCTGGGCTCCCTTTTCATCTTTCAAGTATTTATAAAGCACCAAATATCTGGATGTTTCAGCCTTGATTTCTTAGTTTCAGATATCTGAGGTCAGATGCTGAATTCTGACATCATTTACTTTGCAAATGAATTTCAAATTTTAGCAGCAGAGGTCATTTCGAAAACGATGCAAACAATGGAAACTTCATCAAGAAAAATCACAGATACGGGTGAAATTCTGCCTGCGTAATACTGAGCACTGTTTCTCAGTACGAAGTGTATTAGCTCTAGAATTTCTAGGTATTATCTCCAGAATTTTTTTTTAAAAGCCTCTAGAAATTAGAATGATTAAAATATATTAAGAGGAAAGACTGTTAAAACACATCTTGTTCCTCAAAAGCATTGTAAATTGGTGATATTCCTCTAGTTACAGTTTCAACTATTTTATGCTTCATGGGTTTAAGTGAAGTTCACATATACTTCATCCACAACTACAGATATTTTTCAGAAATAGTGTAAAATTTTTGTACCCAAAGATTACAGAAGTATCTTGCTTTACAGACTCCTGCATTCTAAGCAAGTGCAACATGGATGTCAGCAGGTTTGGAAAATACAGAAGCATTTCACACTACAGCAGAACAAACGTTGCAAATACTTGGACACGACAGTACCATGTAGCTACCTAATATAAAAAGCAGTATTTTTAACTTGACATGTTGATGACTGCACCCAGTCTACTTGCTTGGTTCAAGACATTTTCAGGTGTATTCCATACCAAGAAGTTAACAAATCAGAAAAATCCCTGTGCCTATTGTCCTTCCTTTTCCACCCAGTAATTCAAGGCTGCATATGCAAACAGATGAGGTTAATAATCCTCATGTGTGCTTTGCATGAACTCTTCCCAAGCAGCGTCCTGACCATTCATCATTGCTGCACAAGTTAAATACTCCTTCACTGTTAGGAAGCTAAGCCAATCAAAAAGTGAAATTAAGAATATAGTCTGGTTAAGCTGCAGAGGGGAAAAAAATTGCTTCATTTAATAGGGCTTCATTAGAAAATAATCAGTTCCCCTTCAGCCCACGTTTTTCCTCTGGATTCACAAAATTAAGTTGCATCCAGTTTCAAGCACAACATGGAAAGACGTACTGTACTGAGACCAGTATACCATGGATGTTTTTTTTTTTTCAGTCAGATGTTTACAGAACTTGGAAATAGGAAAAAGCCCAACTATTCCATAGGATATCCACTTTCAAACAGGGAGAAGACGACTTGAAGAAATACACTTTGACTTGCAGAAGCCTGTGAAATCCCATTAAGGTACAAATTGTGAAACTAATGGAAACAAGGAGTCCTTTGACATGCAACTCCGCAACAAACATAAAAATGCAACCTTATATGTTACATCATTTAGATATCCACATTTAAGGTCCTGAATTCATTTTCACTGGAATGTGATTTATGCCAATGCTCAATTTATGGTTCTGTTAGAGATACCCTTTAACTCAGCTACATTTATTAAATTATCAACAAAAATAAAATAAAATAACATGCTAAATCTGGCAGAACATACAAGAACTGAGCCACTCCCTGATAATGACTTAGAATGAAACGTTTTATAAAAAGTTGTTTGGGCTACTGATAAGGTCAGACTGTGAAGAATATAATATGGATCTAGAACAAGTAAAACTGAGGTCTTCAGAGAAAGAATGAACTTCTACTACTGATAAAGTTTCTTCTTGAAGCCAAAAGACCTAATAATTTGTCTTTCAATTACAGTAATTAAAAAGCTCACTTTATTTTTTATTAGAGTTGCATATTCTCCATTTTATTCAAATGATCAGAGAATAGCTAAGGAAAGCACTGCAAAACCTTAATGAGATATTTGAGGAAAGTTAGCCAAATGAACCCCGCACAAAGCTCCTAAACACACACACAAACACACGAGCTGCAAGCCAAGGAACAAATGACTTTCCCAGAAACAAGTCAGGAAGAAAGAAAAGCAAAAACTAAACACAAAAACAAGCACTATATAGCATACCAGAAAAGGTGGTCATACCTGTACTCGATGAAACAAAAAAGTGCAATAAAATAAAACAGAGCAACTCTTACACAATCACTTCAAGTGAGCACAACAGCAGGATACAAGAATGCACCCGACTGTATGAGCAGTAGCAGGATACAGGTACTGGGTACTGAGGATTTGCTACTATGTTGATAAACTTGCACACTTCTAAAAGGATTTTATAACCCATCTGTAAGACTCACGCATCCTCACTTTGCTACCTACCGCTTTCAAGGCGAACCTGTGATCTTTCATCTGATAATGACATTTCCCAAGGGTGGAACAGAAGTACATTTGGAATGCAGTGCCATAAAGTGGCCTTTAACGATCGCATTCCAAAATTAAAAAGTAGGGTTTTTTCTTCCTGCCTCTTCTAGTCTTCCCCCCCCCCCCCCCCCCCCCCCCCCCAATCAAAACCACAAAGAGGAGAAGAACCCTTCCTATTAGGGAAGGGAATGTCATTGCTTCCTAATTGTAGTCAGGCACTGTACTGAAAAGATATTTATCTTATCTACTTAACCTACGCACAGGAATTAATCCCCGAGATGTTCCCTGAAATTCCTGCAGAAATTTATTCAGAGTGTAGGTTTTCACAAGCTCACACAAAATACGCAAAGCATGTCAAAACCATATGATAAAGGAATTCAATTACTTTCATATGTTATTGAAAGGAAAAAGTGGTATTTTCGTCTCCTTTTCAAGAGTAAACTGCAGATAAAGAGATTTAGTTTTCTAATTAACATACATAAACTTCTAATACTGCACAAACATGCAACTATCCTTGTTTTCTATGATGAATGCTGTTAAAACACTTTTTTCACCATATCACTAACATGAGCAGTTTCACAAAGAAAAGAATTACAGCTCCCTTGTAGCAGCAAATACCAGGTGGGTTGGGATGTATTAAGCCCCATAGCTTTATATTCACACACCACTTCCAAATAGCATGAACAAGTGTCTCCAAACTATAGAATTATTAAATAAAAGTGGGAACACCTTGGTTTTTTTGGAATAGTCGCCTCTACATTTTCCAATTATTCTCAAGTACTTAGAAATGTTAACTTTCAAAAATTTCTCATTTGAAACAAGTGTTTTAACATCCTTTTTGCAAGAGCGTAAGAGCCATTCATTCAACATGTGACAATACAGAGCTGACAGTACCTTTTAAATACTTCGCACTTGATACAAAACGTCAGAAAACAGAACACAGATTGAAAGAAAAATGCAGCAGAAAGACATTTCAGAGAAACACAATGTAAAATTGCTCCTTGTTTATAGGAAAGTCAAGTGATGTGCTCATGCTTTTAGTAAGCTGTTATAATATTACAGTTGTGGTTTTAACACTCTGCTGACCTGGGATTGTGGTGGTGCTGCTAGAGCTACTGTCATCCACGGGCCCAAAGAAATCAAGGTTCAGAAGAGTGGAACCTCCACTAGCTTGAAATTCAGTGACCGTGTTGGTAGGCAGCCATATAGAAGGTAAGCCAAGGGAGGGGTTTATGTGTAAAAAGGGGTAAGACACACACTTGAACATGCAAGTTATAATTAGTACTCAGTACACAATTTAAAAATTGACATGAAAACAATGCTTACAGTATTAGTTTGTACCTTCTAAAACGTTAACAACTTAATTCAGTGCACATTTCCTCATGTACAATGCAGCAAGGAAATCAACACTAGTAACTTTAAAATAGAAATATTTATTTCAGTCTAAAAATGAAAGAGAACCAGCAAGACCCAGAGAGAAAGATGCGACCAGTTAAAGGGAAACAATATATAGGTCGATTGGTTATTAGACTATAATGGGCTTTTTCTCCCCTCCTTGAAATTGAAAGTCATTCTTTCACCAGGAAGACTTAGCAGGTCCCCAAATAGCAAAGAACCAAAAAACTAGCAAGTTTCATTCATCATCTTTAAGTGATTAATTACCTTTATCTTAAAACAATGTAAACACAAGGTAACAAATGCCACTATTACATCCAGTTCCTTACTGGTAAACTATACTGTTCCCCTTTAGTACTAAAACAGAAATCAAACCAAGATACATTTTAAAGAAGTTGTTTGTTAAAAAGAAAGCATGATGATTTGACTGAAGTAATAAGACACCAGACAACAGCAAAAGGGTCCATCCAGGCTTTCCTTCAGCACCATGATATTGCTATCCAAATTGTTATATCCTACGTGCTCTGGAACAACACTGTGAAGCAACACCAACAGAGTAAGAGATTTAGTTTATTTTAGCCTGCTTCTGAGCAACTCATACAGGATGAACTAACTGTTGTTAGCAGGCTCCTCTTACAGGTGTCATTGTCTTTACAGGTTTCTAGTCTGTCAATCAAACGAGTTTTCAAAACTTGATTTGTTTCCTTTGCATAAGCTTACATTTCTGAGACTGGAGGTGGTGGCAAAATTCACTTGTCTATTTTAATAGACAACAGGTGAACATCTTTTATGCAGTAACTATATACACTTATAGATACAAATAAGTTTGTAGCTACCTCTGATTTAATATATTAGCTATAATTAGCTCTTGAGTTAAGCAAAAGTGATAACAGATGAAGCCACATTTTTGAAATATAAAATATCTGTAAATCTGAAAACTTTCAGGTCAAGAAGTGTATCTTTTGCAAACAGTTTTTGGTTAAAATATTGTGCTTTGAAGTAGCCACTACACATAAGTTTGTCATTCAAAGGGTATCTAAAGAGATAGTTCATGGGTGAAAAATACTTTTAAGAAGTAAAACTTGTCAATCTAAAATGCTCATTTATTCAGAGTTCCATTATGATCTGCAGTTATACATAAGGAAGTGTTAATATTGCAGCTGTGTGTCATTAGCATACGGCAGGAATCCAAAAATAATACTTAGTATTTTTAAGACCACATAATACTTCACATAGGGGCATAGTTAATCAGAATGTATATATTTTAAAAAAATAATCAGCAGAGAGATGTTTGTCTGAACTTTGTAGCTTTCTTATCTCTAGCTCTGGTGCTAGAGGCTCTACGGAGAGACGTACCATCTAAAGGGTTAGTAAGGCCACTGCTACTCCAGTCAAACTGGACAGGTGGTAGAGATTCCTAGAGTTGAAAAGTCAGAAATCAGATTTTATAGTCAGTTCAGGTTACAACAATGCAAAGCAGTTCAAACAACAGATTCTTTAGTGCCAAAATACTAAAAAAAGACAACTGAACGAGCAAGCCTTAGTCTTTGGGAGGTGAGTATTTTCATAATATGTGCTAAAGATTCAAAGTAGATTTGTTCTACTACATGAAGTCTCATTAAATTCCAAACAGTACAGATTAGAAACTTCCAACTTAAACAAAAATTGCACGTTAACTAAATCATACGAATTGGATTAAAAAAAAAAAAATTAAGACATAGTTGAAAGTTAAACTAGTATTACTTCCATGGAAGATGAGGCATTTATATAGAGTTATGTATACACAATTCAGAGGCCAATTTTAGAATAGGGTTATTAGTGAAAATTGTCTACATATCCATGCTTTGACCTAATTGTATACAGAAGTAGTTCTTTACCACTAAAGAGCCCATAATTCTTTTTCTTCAAGAGACATAATCCCTACAGGTGAGGGACAAACTATAAAAAAAAACTTGTCTAAAAACATCCTGCGACTTATTATCCTTTAATGATTAACTAATTTCAATATATAAACAAACCACTAGTAAAAATGAACAAAATGAGCATGGAAACATCAATTCCTCATGGGAGCCCATCCTTGCCGTTTCATTTCCTCTTGCTCAGTCTTTTGCACACATGCACATAAATCAAACAAGCAGCAGGAACCATGTTTTACAGGAACTATATATTCAGGTATAGTGTAGCTTGCAAGTGCTGTCCTCTTGTATTCTCAGGACACGAGCCTATCGGACAGTATCAAAACTATCTGGAATAAGTAGATCTTCCTATTTCAGTCCATTTCATTTCTGTTCTCTCGCCAGCGAAGTCAATTGTCAAGAAGCACCAGGAAAGGACATGCCTTCAGCTTCACAAGTTTGATAAAACTAGCAGAACAGTCACGCTCATTATGGAAAAACAGCAACCAAAGTTCTCGGCAACTTGACTGAAAACCCATCACTCTAGTTGTCAGGCTTCCAGTGGCTGAGACATGCATTCTGCTTGTTTTTGTAGAAAGCTGGGCTATTGATTTTACTTTTAAAAGTTACAGCTATCAAGCACTGGAAAAACATGCAGATTCATGAATCAAGACTGCAGCAACCTAAGTTAGCTTTGTAGAGTTAAGCTAACTGTAAAAAGCTTCCGCTAGGTGATAGATTTTTATAGAAAGAAAAATAAAGCGAGCTGGAGGTTTCTGTATTTACTTATAGTATAAGCCTTGCCTAGAGAAATCTTTCCTACCTAATGAGCCAGAAATATTTCCAGTACTGAGGAGTATAACTAGAACAGTATTTACTCCATGGAGCTTAAGGAGCTGATGCTACATTTTTCATTTTGTTTTGGTAATGAAATTACTGGCGCTCAAATGACTTGCACAGAATAACATTACTAGTGCGGAAGCTACACTTGATGAAGTAATGATCACTACGATCAGCAGTTTGTTTGAAGTTTGTCATACCTAAAATATATTCACATGAAAAGGAGCTTTCACAAAGAAAAGGGGGCTAGTCTGATAATTTAGTAGTTTTCTATGGTGAGCAAAATGAGGTCAAAGTCAAACTAGCTTCCCACCTACCCTCAGTAACGGAGGAAAGCACTCACTACATTTTTGTCTCAGAAGATTTTTGAGTTAGGACTGATGAGTGTGACAGAGTTGCACGGAAAAGGCTGTACCAATGGCTGGCCAAAATTTTCCCCTTTAATGACTACTTGATTCTCAAATTTACCAAGGAGAGGGCAAAGGACGTGCTCAGTTCTTCCCAGAATGGGGAAAATAACTCCAAATCAGTAAATATACTATTCCACTCCGTAGGATGAGGCCATTCTGATTATTTCAAACACTAGAAATCACAAAAAAAGCAGGTGGCAAGAAATTCTGACCTATTCCATACAGGATGCTGGCAAGCTCTGGCCTTTGAAAAAGCAGTCAAAAATGAAAGGAGGGGGCAGAGACAAAACCCAGTTAAACAGAAAGGAAAAGTTTTCTGGTTTCAGCGGCCTTGGCCCTAACGGAATTAACTATACTGGGACGTCCAAACAGCCTTGAAATCTCAGACAACGGAAACATGCACTGCATATGGGAATGTAACGTTCTGTCTTTCAGAGACTGCAGGATTGTTAGGATACTGCATTTACAACCATTATTTTAATAACACGTTTTAAGGAAGAGCGCTCTACCCAGACGAATATTGAGAATCGGGACAAATCTTTCCCTCCTCCCTCCATCTTAGATTATAGGACATGGTACAGAAATGAAGCAAGCATACTTAGCTGTCAGGGTACTACTCAGACTGCTAAGGAAGTGAGAAAGAGGGAACTAAAATGCCTGCTGATTTCCCTGCATCATATTTCACTTTCTGACACAAGCGAGAGATGTTTTCACACAATAATTTTAGAATGCTATTATGTAAGAACTTCTTTAATCCAAAAGACTAAGATGTAAAAGTTCGTCTCCATGCCAATAACTACCCAGGAAAACTAAATCAAGTAAAAAAGAAAAAAAAATAGTATTTCCCTTCTTAAAGTTGAAGGGAATTAAAAAAAAAAAAAAAGAAAGGCTTGCAATTCAAATATATTACCAATATTTATATAGGTCCAACAAATGAGCACTCTAAGCACGACTTTCTGAAAAAGGCTTACACAGAAGCAATTCATACATTTTTCATTTTGCCAACCAGTGCACACAATGAAGAGTTCTGAAACGTACTTTTCTCAGACACCACACCTTTAAGCTACTTCATCACATTTGCCAGAATAATAAGGTCTGTAATATTTCTTACCTGTAATTCTCTCTCTCTTACTGTCAAGACAGCAACATATATTCTTGGATCTTTCTCACATGTAAAACTGGAGAGCAATTCCATGATGGAGCCTTTGGCTGGTTGCCAATAACATGGTAGTTTGCATCTGTCATTGTTAGAAGTCCTGATGGTCCCTTATGTAATTAAAATTGTTTTTAAAAACCCTCGCCCCATGAGGTTTAATTAAGGCTCAGTCCATAACAGCCCAAAAGTATAAGATACATGTTCTACCATTACCTGATCTCTAGTTCAGGGGCTTACATGCATGTGGAAGTGCTGTAATAGGCACCTGCAGAAAAGAATTACTGGTATTTTTCTTCTGGAAAGGTCTGGGTCACTGTAGATCTCTATTCCAATATTAAACTTACTAGGCAAAACAAAGCAGAGAAGAAAACCCAAAGTTATTCTATATGCTGGGACAAAGTTGACAGTAGGAGCTACTAAAGAAAGATAGTCCCAAACAGAGAGAAGGTGCTTTGAAACAAACCAAAAGAGCAGAAGGATATCTAGGTAACATTTTACAAGAAAGCCAAAGAAAAGAGGGTATATACCTTAAGACTACCTTAACCAGAGAACAGTATTAAATCAAGAGAAACCAATCAACATTAACTCCAGACAGTAACTTTTTTGACAAGCACTAGAATGCATTTTAATGGCACTGCCTGAAAACCTGGTCAGGGACTAGATGCCCACTCTACTAGATGCTGTGAAACAGAAAAGGGTACCTGTCTCAGGGGTTTCCCAATCAAAGGTTGCCTATTTGAGCAGTCATTCTCTCATACCTAGAGTATACCTTGATAGGGCCTTGTACTTCAGACCTGCAAAGTCTTCTAGGCATCGTTCTCTTAGATCAACAAAACAGCATTCAGGGGATTATTTTATATTCTGTTTACTGCCTTACACTTGGGAGCACAGAGGAACAGAGAAATAAACCCCCCACCTGTCAAGATAAATAATGGATCAAAGAAGAATTTAGACATCACCTTCAAGTATAAAACAGGATGAGTCTACAAAAACCACCGTTATACTAACAGCTACTGTGATAGATCAGTCAGTAACTTAAATTTCTTGAGAGGAAAAAAATCATTATTTTTGAAAAAACAAAACTTTGTGCTGGCAGCTCAAGTGTCCCAGACAGAGATTTGTCCACTGTATTTCCATAGGCTGATTAATGCAATGAGATCCTTAGCTGTGAACGAGACCCCTCCAAAATTCAGAGTTTATACAACAAGTAGGAGGAATCATTGTAGATAATTTGCTTCCTTTTCCTCTTATTTTTTATTTTTTATTTCTATTACTGTCTATTTTAGAACCCTGCATGTCATCTTCCTTTCTCCTACAACCAGGAAACTGAGGGGTCATTTCAGAGTTTCTGCAAATGCTTTTCTCATTCCCACTTTTGCATCATCACAATTTCCTGCTTCCAGTGTCTCATTCCATCAGTAGGAAGTCATACGCACAGACAGACACTGACTGCATAAACAAGTCCCATAAACATTAGGCTTTCAGAGGATAACTCTTCTCCTTCCTTAAGCAAAGCACAGGAATCTCTGAACCAGGACCTATTCCTTCCAATAAGGAAGCCAATACTTTGAAATCTCCAAATACAAGAATGATCCATCTTCCTCATCTGAAAACAGAGGAATTCAGAAGTTCTACCCAGTTAATGCTTAACTACTCAGCTGAGCTTAAAGATGCATATAGTTGTACCTAAAGTTAATTGTGTTTAGAATAAGAAGTTTCAGGGTCCACTAAAATTGCTTATCGTATTTCCATTTCATAATTATCAACAGCACAGTTCCTAACAAAACGTTCACCAAAGTTTGGGCGCATCTTCTCAATACCACTACAGTCTGGAACAGTTGCAAGAGGCAGTCTGCCCCATGTGACCTGAAAGCTGGATTCTCCCAAAAGCAAACAGAAGATATTAACATCAAAGAAATAAGGTCTCTGAGGTGGACATTTGCTGACTGTCTGTGCCCGTAAGCTTTCCAAATTCCGCTTAACTGCAACCGTGCCTCTTAGCATTCTTACTAGCTAGAGCTTTAACACCTCTCTTTCCCAAAAAACTTATTTTAGTACTTGTCTTTTTGGAAAAAATAATCTAAGGCAGGCAGCCAGCAGTGCAGATTGACAGCATGGAAGCTTTTCATATGAACAACTATTGAACTGAGATAGCCTTGTCAGACCAGTAAGCTGGGGACAAGATTATCAAATTCTGATAAATAAGGGGATATTCTGTCAGAAGATTATCCAGAAGTATAAGATATTCTTAATTAGAGAGGAGAAAAAAAAAAAAAAAGGAAAAGGTTTGATAAGTAGAGGTTCTTACTTTCAGCAAGCAACATAAGGACTGCCAGGCAACTGAGAAAACAGCACACGACAGAGATGCTGCTGGTTTAAGCTCTCGCAGCTCTTCACACTACACTACAGGGTTTGATCTCCGTTACCCCCTCTGTAAAGGATGGAACCTTGAATTCTGCAGGAAGCCAGTAAAATTTTCCAACTCTGAACAAATATAGAAACTGAATAACTGATTTCTTTAGCTCAGACTGGTTGCAATGATTGCCATTCAATATCCAGTCCAGCTGCTCAGTTCCACTGCAGAATTTGTGAGAAGTAGAATAGGAAATATCACCAAACATGTACAATACCACAAAAAGCTCGAATTCTGACCAAACTGACATAGTGCTATTCCATCACACTGACAATGGAGAAAAAAAAATTTCTCATCCGGTACAAGCCTATCACAGTTACAGCTCTGCATTACGGCAGAGCAAAATGCTCAGGGAAATCACTAAGCTCAGAAAAACCTGGTCTTATGGTTAGGTACAGCACCAGGACAATTCATTCTGGAGCACCTTCATTCAGAAGTCACAAGCGTAACAAGTCTCCGAAGATGCTCCGGCAGGTTAAACAAGGCCTGTGATAAGGGGGGACACAGGAGAGTCTCTTTCGCTGAATATAGGCTGAGTGCCATTGTGGTGGCATGCTGAAAATGAAACGTCTTAGCATATCCCACTAACTAGTTGCGAACCAGGAGCATTCTAACACCCATGCCATTCACGTGGTCTTCTATTATCAGAATATCAGGAAAAAAAAAACCCTCAGAATTCAAAAGTTCCACCCTAAACTCCTCTGAACTCATTTTGTATCACATCTATTTAGACAAAGAAGCTACCCAAGCAACTCTGAGCTGTCAGCGGATAACCGTTCGAGAAAGCACTTTGGCATAAAGGGCCAGCAGAACTCAGGCAATCAAAAAGCCAGGCATCTCTGCTTGTAGCGGTCGTACCCAAAATCTCTTTCCAGACAGCTGGGCTGCTTTCTATGTTGCTCAGAGAGAAAGGAAAGGGGGAAAAAAAGGAAAAGAGCACAACAGTATATACGTAAACAATCATCTAGAAAAACAGGTGCAGTCCAACAGGTAGAATGGCTTCCTATGATAAATTTTAAGGGGAAAAAAAAAAGATAGAAGAACTTTAGCCAGAGGAAGGATAACTCTAAAGTTACATCTCAAAGTTGCGGAAGCAAGCCCACTCACAGGCCACTGGTTTTTAAAGCAACTTACTTTATAGCAATAGAGATCATCAGGACTCTTAACAAATGCTGGTCTCCCTGCTGTTCATCAACTGCTACGGTGTTAGCTTGGGGACTCCTTTCCAGTCACACATGAAGACTAGATCCAAGAGCAGAGATTCAAACTGACAAAGGAACACCTGTCCTCTGCATACAGGTGTCTTTGGCCATACCACCTATATCTTTAAAATATGAAGGAAGAGGCAAGTGATCCCATTTTCTCTAATTCTTTCTTTTTCCTCTTTTTTTTTGTGTTTATTTTTTTACCTGGAACTGGTCGGGCGTACATATGTTCATCTCTGGTGATACAGGAGGTGTCTGTCCTATCGAAGCTATTTTTTCTGCTGCAGATATGGGTTTCAAAGGTTCCTTGGTAGGCTCTAACATGCCCTAAAAAAAAAAATAAATGGAGAACACACACATATATATATACACACACACACACATATACACACACACCAAGAACAAGACACAGAACTAGGCAGTAAAATCCTTAACTGGATTGGGGGTAAGCATACCTCTCTAGGATATGTTCAGTGAGGGGGGCAGGAGGACATGGGGGGGTAGAAACAATCAAAAGTCTCTTCTGGTTTCTTAGGCTTTCACAAAGCCTTAGAAACATTTTAGTGCCAGTAACAGAAACCCAAGCTCTTAACTGGAGCTTGCCTTCAACTTTCAAGAATGAAACCTAAGCTGGAGGAAACAGTTACTTGATAAGGTGACATTTTCCCCTACCAATTGTGTGCAGACTGTTGCAGAAGTATCAAGTGGCCCATCAGAAAGGTACAAGTGCATTTACTCCATTTCAACAATAAGGTAATTCAGAAGAAGCAAGTCAAATTATCAGTTTGTAGACTGATACCAAGAACTGTAACCATTGCCATGGAAATAAATGCATTAAAAAGCATTAGGAAAACTAATAAAACCATGTTTTAATTGTTAAACAAGCTATTTAGAGCTAAGCAGTATTATCAAAGATGTCCGAAATCCCTCATATTCCTGAATAAAAGCAAGGGTGGAAAAAAAAATACACATATAGACAAACAAAGTCTGCACTGAGGCATGCAATGAGACACTGACCAATGAAGTATGACCAAAGAAAACCCCAAAACAAAACCACTGGATTTGTTACTAGCATATTATAAAATAATTTCAGGAAATTAGCCACCAAGACTAACTGTTCCACAATCAAGCGTTTCTACAACATGCTACACAGCTTGGAATTTAACCAAGTAAATCAATTCTTTTGGACAGAGGAGAAACACGAAGCATCATAGCAAGAGAAAGCAGCAAGTCCCTTTGCTCCTAACATCACCTCTGTCCAGCTTATTGTGTGCATAAGTACCCAAGCACTTTAGGAAATGATTAATCAGCAACTGCAATCTGCTTGGGGAAAAAAAAAAAGAAAAAAAATCAAACCAAACCAAACCAAACTCCCTGCACACGTTGTGCGCAGTATAGACTTGTTCCCAAATACACGTTACAGGAAAAAAAAAAAAATAGCAACTGCTAAGAGATGTTTTATCTCTATGTTTATCAGAATACCATGCTTATACCCAAAGAAGCGCATGAGCTCACCTCGATATCTCAGAAAACAACTGCTTTAGAAACTGACTCTAGAAGTCACTCTACAACCTGAAGATTACGTCAATTTAAAATATAACAAAGAAAACTAATTTTTTTTCATATTCAATTTGTGAATGACCATGTTAAAAGAACAACAGCAACAAAAATAGGTCTCCAGAAACAAAACATACCTGTTTTGCTCAGACTAGCAAAAATGGACAATCTTATCTTTTGAATGTTTTTACTACTACAGATATTGCACAGAGACCAAAATGCCATAAAGGCATCACTAAACTCAAGCTTAAGTGAAAACGGTTGATCTCACCACACTAGGTTACTTGGATTTCCTTCACAGTCTGTAGAAGCCTAAGTTACACTCACTATTTGTAGTTAGCCCTTGGGGCAAGTGAACAATACTGTCCATACCACCTTTCCTGTATGCATGAATAGCCTATTACAGTAATATAGTCTTTATTGGACTAGAGGGGGGGAAGAAGAGCCGGAGCAGGCAGAAACCTTAGTTTCAAACCCTGCAGAACTTTTGTTCGTGTGTGAATATATACATGGATACGTACACGCAGCCATATATATCTGGGTCCTTTATTGACTGATATGCCAATAGCACTGCAAAATATTACCAAGTTTCTCTCTTGATTTAAGGATATTGAGATACAATCAAGTAATTAATAAACAGTCTATCAGAGAAGCAGTTGCATAAAGCTTGAGAGAGCTGAGAAAACTCTCCATACACTTTCCATGGAAATCCATAACTGTCTAGCAGGGGTTTTCTTCAATCTTCCTGTGAAACATCTGGCATAATGTCAGGCCTTCCCGAGCTGCTGATGTGGACTGATGTCCCGATTCATTTTGATGTTCCACTGGCATTTTTGACAACTACTTAATCTTCTAGTTTAAGTACCTATTGTCAATTTTTAGTTGACTTTCTTACACCTATACCTTGTATTTAATAGTTAAAAGAAATTTAGTGCTGCATACGCATTAATATATCACTTTGATTCATTTTTCCTTTTTTAAAAAACGTCTCAAGCTAAGATTGGATTAGCTAGCCTAGTAGATGAATAGCTTATTTAATGAAATGAGTATTCAATACTTTTTTCATTGACAATATATCAAAATCTTTTTACATGCAGTTTTCAAGATTCTTTTCTAGCATGTCAACTGATTCCTACAATATAACTAAACTTACACAGATATCTTTCAGCATACCTAGTGATTAATGTCATTTAAGATGTTTCATTATATTATGTCGTGGGAACTATAATACAAAATAACAACTAAAAGCTTACCAGTCCTGCTGCATACATGGGTACTATAACAGGCTGTTTCTTGTTGCCTGTAAAGAGCTGATTTAAAAAGAAAAAAAAAAGGGATTACTTAGGAGGTGCTGTCATATTTCTCAGTGATGACGTTTTTTCAAAGTTTTATAAAGCTTGTGTAAGATTAGTATCGGAGAATAAATATATGGTAGATTTAACACAAGTGTGTAAAACTAATGCAACTTTCAATATTAATAGGGCTTACAAAAAATTAAATTGTAAAACAGTCTGTCATGAAAACCCATTTTCAGTGCAGCTATGCTATTAAGAGACGAGCATTCATACAAAAACACGTGCACCCGGTTCTGCGTTTAAAGCAGCTCAATGATACAGAAAACAAGTTTTATTGACAGACTCACAATATTTCTTGTGTCGATTCCCAAGGAGCACAAAAGCTTTTTGTTGCTGTGGGAGCCACCCCACTGGTATCTCAGTCCATACGCATCATGGATATCCTGCAGCTCTGTCCACACGTCCATCAGTTCCCTATACAGCCCATCATAAATCAAGTTATCAACAAGAAGAACAACTTAGCAGCTTTGAATAAATAGCCTAGTTTTTACTATGAGTGACATACTATACATTCCAATTAAACTTATGCCCAAACATAATACTCAGGGGAACTAAAATTGCACAGCGTTCTCAGAACAATTATTTTTTCAGACTTATAATTAGAAAATGATGTCCACAGCAGACAGAACAAGGCCTACTTAGACTTCATAATCACTTGAATAAAAACAGCAATTTATAGCAAATGTAAGTAATAAGCCATATTCTAATTAACTAATTCACACAGGCATCATTAAAAGAAGATGAGAAGCTGCTACGTGAAATACTACTGGTATATGTAGTCACTGAAGGATGAGCATTCACCTAAACGCCTAATTTTTACTCTACACTTTTTCCAATATATTTGAAGGTCACGTTGAAATACTGCTATATAAGTTTTTGACAAAGATACGTCTCCAATTTATTTGAGGTTTGTTGTGTTAGTGGCTTCTTACCCACTATCGGCCAACGTCTCCTCAGCTGTCATTTGCTTTTCACATGTTTCCAACAAACGATTCAAGGAACTTATTTCTTCTTCAATTTCAGGAACAGGCATGGAAGGAAAACAGACTTCAAATATTCGTTCCAGACGACTTAACAACGTTGTCTATACCACAGAGGAAAATATTTGTGTCAAAATTTGTTAACTGCTTTAAGGAAAACAATGAGTACAAAATTATAAAAACAAAGTTAAAAGACGGAAAACAACGGATAGTTCAGACAAAGTTGCACTTACCACAAGCTATATGAAAGTCACAGGATCACAAGACTCTTAATAAAACACCAAATACAAGTTGCAGCTACTGAGAAACAAGTAAGGATCTTTACCCTCTGCAAAGGGAGCACTTACATAAGAGTTCAGAACAGTTCTTACCAGACTCACTCTCTGTTGTGAATTGGCAGAAAAGGTGTACAACGAGTACTGAGCCATACTTACTTCAGCTGCATCAAATTTTCCAGTTCTACACGTCCTTTGGTTTTTACTGAACACATTTTTTCAGGAATTTTGGCACGGAACATTACAAACTGAAAACAGTATCATTTCACTTGATGACAATACGCTTAAATCCAAACTCAAGACAACATGCAACGTGCTCACACTGTAATCGTGACTTTGGACTATCAATATGTTTTTCCTTCATATTTTCAAAGACTGCACACTTCCTAAAAAATTATCAATACGATTCAGATATAGGAAAATTATAATACACAGCTGCATTTTCTATGGTTCATATGATAGCTCTTCTGCTTCATACCTGACTAACAGTAAGGCATTTAAACATACTGCTTGCCAAAAAGTATTTGAAAGATTTATTTGGCTCTCAGAGAAAACTCTCCCAGACCAATTTAGCTCAAGAAGAAAAAGAGGGAATACTGAAGTGCTGAAGTTTAAGTAGCAGCGCCTTAATTTCTTGCTCTAAAACCTAGTACGTTTGTTCTTATCACACTAGAAATTTACTAATATAAAAAGAAGAATCACTTTTCTCCCAGCGATTCCCCTTTCCTCCCATTTGCAGTGAAGCCAGTCGACGCTGAACGCTGTAATTCTGTAGGGGGTTAAGAGCCAGCCTTGAGAACGTTTCTATCCTAGCCAAACAGCAACAACGAAAAAATTCCCCATTCCGTTTAGTTTAGTTGAAGATGAAGCTAACTAGATCGCAGCATGATGTACACAACCGCAACTTTATCAGCATTGCTCTCATCTGACCTTCTCTCCACTATCTTAATTGTAGATTATAAACCCATGACAAGAGTTATCTAAATTCAAACGTTCAGAGGTTTTGGGGTTTAATACAGACCTATTATTCCATGGGTTTGAGAGACTAGGCAGGATTTCCTGCTTGTCAAAGTAGTTGCAACCTTGTCTGGATGTCACCATCCCTTCCATGTCCCTTGGGAGAAAGGGGGCTTTCATTTGGCACCCTCCGAGAAAGCCAGAAAGGGTTCCCAAGTTTCATAATGGAGGAAATGTTCCCTTCCTTTTTTCTCTCCACCACTGCTTCCATCACTGCTATCAGGTAGGATAAGGTCTCAGCGTTATACAGAGCACATAATAGTACTAACGGTTTCCAGGAATTTCAGTTCCACAACACGCATCGGAGAATGCTCAAATTCTTGCCGCTTTGGGCCTCGGCACCATAAGGTATTGCTGGATCTAACGCTGAAGAACAAAAACCAAACCAAACCACCCCCTGCTGCCAAAAATCAGAAATCC